GTTGTGATGGAGAATAACTCAGTGAGGTATAGTTTATCTCCACGGGGCCATGTTAAATTACCACTTACAATGGAGTACGATAAATTGATATCGTTGTTATGCAAAAAAATGAGTGTGAGGAAACACCGAGTGATACTTAAAGTAATCGGAAGATATCCGTATTCCGTCACTCCGCAAGGGTATGCTTTTTACTCGGAGTTAAACATCTACGATGATGAAACTTTGAGGGATTTTCTGAGGACTCCGGATGAATATCGGGAATTTCTTGTAATCAAAATGTTGGATATGTACGTCAAGGTCGAAGATGTTCCCAACAATGAGGTTGCCGGACAGGTTCCGGGTAACCCCCAGTCATCGAGTGGTTATTCTGGAGCAGTTTTTTCCGGACAAGTTCTGGATGAAAGAGTTTTCCTTGATTTAAACTTATCACCCCCTGTTTTCCTAATTCACAAGACGAGTGGTAAACTTTAATTTTCCTTTGTGTTACGATTCTACATTTTTGTTGTATTGAATTTGTATTAACGCTCATACATTTAACAGGGGTACCGACCAGATATGAATTTTACAAATTATGAACCCAAGCATAGTTTTGGTATGTTGGATCATGGTGGTCCATCCGGTAGTCATCACCTAAATAAAAATGTCCATCATGGAATTTCATCACATTACGACTTGTAAGTGAAGTGATACAGCTATATGGAAAGTATTTATTAATTTCAGTAGCTTATTATTTTGTTGATTGTGCAGTGAAAACGAGCAAGTTGAACCACATGTACTCACTCAATTACCCGAAGATGACGTATTAAATCGGGATCTGGCAGATGCACAGAGTGAGGAAGAGAACAGTGATTACGACAACAATGCTGATGAATCTGGAGACGATACACCCTTTCCTTGTGAGGATGGTGATGAGGAGGATGAAAAGGAAGGACCTGATTCGACCAGAGAGTATGCTCCACCCCCTAGACGAAGTGTGTACGAGTCCCAAGTGCCGTTTCATTCAAGGGAGATTCCTTACCTTGATAACTATCCAAGCATGCCGGAAGTGGAAGCTCTCACAAGGGATTTTGATGAAATTCGGATAGCAATGTGGGATGAGTCTAGACCAACGGTGCTGGCAAAGGGCATGCTTTTTCATGATAAAGCGCGTGTAAACAGGTCTTGTAAAATGCACAATGTAAAAGAGTGTCGTGAGATGGCGGTATGTGAGTCAAGTCCGGTTGTATACAAGGTTGTTGATTTTGTCCATGTGATTGGATGTTGCGTGCGAGCAAGAAGAAGACAGGTCTGTGGAAAGTGGGTAAATACATTCCCACCCACACATGCGAAATGGACACATTCAACGGGAATCACTTCAACTTGGATATTGACTTGATTTCTCTTGTCCTTATCCACACATCGAAGCGTCCATAAGGTATAAAATCAAAGAGTGCATTACATCAGTCCACCAAGAACATGGCCATACCATTACCAAAAGAAAAGGCATATCTCGGGCTCAAACGAGCGTTTGAAATAGTCTATGGTAACTAGGATAAGTCATTTGCAGCTCTGCCCAGGTACATGGCCGCACTGCAGTACTTTAACCCCAGGATGGTTGTTGAATGGAAGCTTGAGCGGAGTCCGGGTAAACCAGAATATATATTCAATTACGTGTTCTGGGCGTTTAAACCAACAATTGATGGTTTTTCGCATTGTCGGCCCATAATATCCATAGAAAACACTCATGTCTATGGAAAGTACGATATCAAGCTATTGATAGCCGTGGCAGTAGATGCTAATGGACATATATTTCCTCTAGCTTTTGCTATGTAGCAACCCCTTTGGGAGGGTACTACTTAGGAAAACAAATCTAATTTCCTACTTACAAAATATTAAAAGAGATATTAATAAAAATATTTAGAATAATTTTAGTAGCGGAAGTAGGTCCATGCGAAAAGGTTGAAAGTGCAATATATATATATTTTTAAAAATACACCATAATTTTATTTTAAATGAAATACAATGTCAAAACATTAACAGATTAAAGCAACTTCCTAACTGATTTATACAATCATTCAAAATCACCGCAAGTTTATATTGTACATAAATTTCAAACTATCGGGTATATATAAAAAACAAAGGAAACTAGTTTTCTCCTTTTCTACATATTTACAAGAGAAAGTGTAAATTCAGCATATTACAAGACTTGAGTTATTAAAACACCCTAATACAATAAAATAGGTTACAAATTCAAGTTACAAGATTTTGGTCTTTAAAATCCAACAAGCCTCCAAATAACATAAGTGTGACATATATATATATATATATATATCATGTATATCATGTACACGTCCCAAAACTATGCAAACCAAGGTGCATATGCAAATGTGATCTCCATAAATTCTCCCAAAGAGACTACTTCACCCTGGCCATCTTCAGATTTCATCCCGAACATTTCCTACGATAGAAAACAACTATCGCTAAGCATAAAGCTTAGTGGTGTATAAACTTTAGGCTTGGAGTCATTAAATTCTCCAATTCCCCTTTTCAGTCATAGTTAGCTCAATTTAACATAATTTAAAACAAGTGAACAAATATATCAAACATACCAATATCAAACTTTGAAGTGTTTCCAAATATCAATAACAATGTTCAAGAGTCTAGAAAGTGTATACTATCAATTTAAGGAAGTATACCAAATATCCATTTTTCGCCCAATATGTACGTCATGCCATCACACTAAGCATAATCAGATATCAAGATGGACCGAAGCCCCAAATCAAGTAGGGTCAAAACCCAATAGACAAGAGAATCAAGAACCATATTAAAAATGGCTTCCTAGTTCGTACTTAACACGGACAAATTCCATAATCCAAGACGAACTACAAATCCAAAGTCAAGATGACAAAAGATACGAATCAAGAGGCATGCCAAGTGAGTGACCAAGTCACTGCCACAAGAAGGAAAAAGTCCCAACAAGAATGCAAAATGATCAAACAATCCGTACGAATGGGCGATTTAGCAAATTTCTTACAAGACTTGATATAATCCGAATATAACAATATAATTCGAAGACAAGAAAAATAATATATCAGGTTATTTCAACATATTTCCAGCAAGCAAAACGAGTACAAGTTTATACACAAACCTTGGTATTTTACCACAAAACAGTTCAATCACAACTTGGGGACGTTCGAATCGTCTACGCCGTAAACAAACCAAATCTGTCCACTTCCTCAAACACTCCCCCTTTGATTTTTTTCAAGGGTTTATATACCTTAAATATATAATCAATTATCTAAATAAGTTCAGTGATTTAACAAGTCAACTAAACATGATATTGGTGAAAATTACCCAAAAACGTTTGAAACAGAAATTCTGGACAGTATCACTATTCCGAGTTGTGACTCAGCTTTGAAGATCTATACGGACAAACTAGACTTTATAGTCTTCACAAAAGTTGTAGATTTATGTCTTACCGTTTCAGAACATCTTGAATCACCACCATATCAATTTTTAACAAAACGTTATGCTAAGATTACTAACAGCAGTACATGGAGTATTTCAAGA